CCCCCCGGGCGTGATTTCCGTTGTCTGGGTAACGTTGATGGAGCTAAATAGTATTTTGGTATGTCAATTCTTGTCATGTATGTTGATGGATTGATTGTCCTCTATAATTATATGTAATTTGAAATATATTGCACATACTTTCAAGATAGAGATGTAAATCAAATGAGTGATACTCCACTAGCTTGTTAACCTGTTAATCATTTGTTAACCTGTTTGAATGTGACAAAATATAGTCTAAACTCCTCAACTTCTCAATTAGCATAATTATTGTGGTATCTAATTTCCAGGTTTTCTGGGTGAAGCCCATGAGTTGATGGTTGAGGCTCTTAACCTATTCCACCAAGTTTATGGACCTCTTCATCCAGATGTTGCTCTTTGTTACAGGTAGGACTGTCTAATCCAGCTTGTCAGGCTCATCTCTTTTTTCAAAATTATATTAAAAGTTGCAGATACATTTAGCAACTGTTCATCTGATCTTAAAATTATTTTCATGAAAGTTTTAGTTATTTGTCTAGTCATCATGCTTTTAACACAGCTAAGTTTGTTCATCTTATTATACTGACATCTTAAAAGCTTACATGTATGTTTAGACTTAACTTGCTATCAAAGACCAAAAAACAAGCTGGAGATGGAAAGTCTATACAAAATTTGGCCTAGATACTTCTATCAAAACGAAACCTCTATCAAGCAGTCAGCCTCTACTAAGTGGTCCCACATGTGATTGCTWAAAGAATCATAACCAACCACCGTACCTTGCGCGCTCGTATTATTGTTTACATACGTTTAAATGAGTCAAGGATACAATAGATTATAGATTGATAGTACCTGTGAGGTACTTAGTTAAATGTATTTCTGTCCAAACTGAAAGGACGGAAGACGATTCACGCTCACTTTAAGAAATCCTACGAATCCGCCATTTCCGTCTCCTCCTAAAATGGCGCTTCGGCTAGCAAGGTACGGCGGTTGGTTATGTGATATTTAAAAAACGAGTAGGAGTGTTTTATCGTGAGATATAAACACGAGGCCGAAGGCCGATTGTTTATATCCACGTTAAAACACGAACTACGAGTTTTTTAAATGACTTCTAAAACCCAAACCTAAGAAACTACAATAAACATGAAATAAATAAAAAAATATCAAAAATGAATAATTGATGAAGATATCTCCATCTGAGCATGAGCAGTAATCAACTTGGTTTCCCACATCCAAGCGCCACTATGTTTTAGTGTACTGTGACTCTGCAAATAAGTAATTTTAACTCGAGACCTAGTGAAGTTCTATGATGAKAGTCTAAAACTGATAACTTTTCTAGTGTTGGGCATACATCGAGTGTCTGTAAATCAGTTACGACACTGATGTTTTATGCATGAGTGTTATAACTAACTGAACCGGTTAGTTATAAAACCCATGTTTAATTAACCAGTGTTTATAATATAACTTGAGTTATAGATCCTGTCATGTGACCCATAGTTGAATGCTCATTGGAAGAATGTCTAATGAATAATTCATGAGTTTTAGAAGATTCTTTAATAGAGGTTTGACTGTACTTATTATCTTCATGGTTTTTGGATCATATATACATTTTATTTTATTGTCATAGTGTTTATCACATTACTTAAGTCCAATCATCAACTTCTTCAGTATAAGTCCCCTTGTCTCCTGTGTTATCCTTGAGTCAGCTTGGTAAAGGTTTCTGCCATATTTGCATGCTTCTTGTACTGCCAGTACAATCATCCTTACTTCAGTATAAGTCCCCTTGTCTCCTGTGTTATCCTTGAGTCAGCTTGGTAGAGGTTTCTGCCATATTTGCATGCTTCTTGTACTGCCAGTACAATCATCCTTACCATTTTCATCAAATTTTATTTTTCTTGGCTCTAATGGTTCCTTGTGACATCTTAAACTATTCTGTTGCTCCTTGTTGTATTTTTTTAATGACTTTTATTTCATAGCAACAAAGCAGGTTTACGTAAAAGACAAAGACAAATAGTTTACAAATTAATCATAATTATGAGGAGTCTCCACTAAGGAAGTAGCTGATCCATTAAAGAGTGCTCAATACACATACAGTGTAGAGCTAAGTATATATATATATAATAATGAAGAGGCAAGATTTGCTGTTACTCTGAAGCAAATCTTGCTTCTTCATTATTWTATATATTATAGTTGACAAATTAAGGAGTATCTTTCTAAGGATTATACTTAAGAAGATTAACACGTGATTGACACGTGAGCGCCTAGAGGCAGCACACACTCCTGACAGCTCCTAAAAATTTCCTAATTTTGTCTAAAATAARCCTAACTATTCCATCAAGATTCTTATTCGAATGCTTATACATCTAATACATTTAATATGGCAGCGTATATGTATTCAAGATCTTTTCTAATGGCAATTTTGAAGTTGACTCCTAAAGCACCATTAAATAAACAACTCTGGAGGAATCTGTGTCACTTTGGGATAACAAAAATCAAGCCAACAAGACATGGTTGTAGATCTGGTCAGAGAATTAGCACTAATAACCCAATGCCAACYGCAAATGTAGCTGAAAATTCTGAACAACTGCTGATAAAACCGAGTTCATTGGAGTTCATTACATAATGCAGAATCGTCCATTCTTGCAACCAGCCAACCATATACTCATCATATACAATCGCCTTAACCCGACACGGGCACCATACAATAACATAGTTTAAGTTCAATTATGAAACTCTTTATCCCTCCTAGCGTGACGTCTCCTTTTTCACCCCTCATTTGCAGCCTTTCTTGCTTTATCTACCATATTTACCCATGTATAAGCCGCTCTCGTAGATAAGCCGCACCCCGAGTTTTAGGGGCGTTTTTGAGGGGGAAAAAAGACTGAAAATAAACTTTTCTCTTTTTGATCAACACTTGCGAACACAGCTTTCTTTGATTTTAAAGTGCTTTTCCGCTGCTCGATTTCCGTGATCCAAATTAGCATCGCGTTACCACAACAACTTCAAGACAAAAYGATTCAAAATGCTCTCTGTTCATTGGCTCAATAACCACACACTTTTCAGTGAATTATTGACTGGTGTTTCTCAGGGCTAGATTTTCRGAGAATTTATAGTAATACTGAGAAGTTTGGATTAAAATTTCTGTTCTCACCGTCCTGTCTTAAGTAAGTAGCACCGTGAATGCTAATTTATGCAAATTAGTTTTTATCAGGCAATTTTACGAGTCTTCTCGTAGATAAGCCGCACCCCCGATTTGGGAACGATTTTTTTGGAAAAAAAGTGTGGCTTATACATGGGTAAATATGGTATTTCTTMACAAATACGAGGTGTAAAGTGTTGCCAAGCTATTCTGTCCAACACTCTTTYGTTCCATGAATCCAGGACGCACCCATGCTTTAATATGTCCTTGATAGTATCTTTATACATGTATCTCAAAAAGGGACGGCCAACTTTTCTTGAGCCTTCTGCCAATTCGCCACATAGGATTGACTTAACTGGTTGCCCAGATGGCATGCGTGTAACATGACCTAGCCAACGTAATCGGTTCCTAATAAGAATGGTCTCAATGTCCGTGGAATTAGAGCGAGCCAGCACTTCATCGTTTGTGAAAATCGTCCCATTTGATCTTTAAAATGGATCTGAGGTGGCGCTGTTGGACGGCTCTAAGAAGTTTACTGTGGTAACGGTACAGAGTCCAAGTCTCACTTCCATACAACATTTGAGGGATAACACATTGGTTATATACTTTCAGCTTTGTTTCAACTGTCAAGTCCCTACAATCAAAAACTCGCTCTCTTAACCTTCCCATAGCACATGAYGTTGCCTGAATCCGTGCAGTAATTTCTTCATCTAATTTCATTAGAAATAAGACTGCCAAGATACTTGAATCTGTTTACTCTCTTTAGTTTGTAACCATCAACGTAGAAATCTGACTGCTTCCCCACACTCATTGTTTCTGTTTTCTTAATGTTAATTTGGAGCCCYATTTTCTTGGAAAGACTATTGTAGGCGTCGAGCAGAAGTTGTAGTGCACGATCATCATTGGTGAATAGTGCTATATCGTCAGCATATTGGGCTTCTCTGATATAGATTGTGAGAACTTTGGTCTTAGATTTTGACACACATTCACCCAGGATTCTTTTTCTACTGGAGGCCKCTGCATAGTGGGAGCGTAGACACTTATTAGTGTGATGTACTTGTCGTCTCTCAGTGGTACCCGAACTGTTATAAGCCTGTCATTCACAGGGACAGGATTTATATAACAGAATTTGTTGGAGATAGCAAAACCAACACCAGCAGTTTTGTCTTTGCCGCCACTCCAAAATATGGTGTGACTCTTCTCCTTGATGTTACCTGAGCCTGGACGTCTGACCTCGCTTAGGGCACAGATGTCCACTCCTGCTTTTTCCAGTTCTCTACATATGATTGCTGTGGCACGTTCTGGACGGATGTTTGTATCATTGTCGTTGGTAGTCCGGACATTCCATGCTGCTAAGTTCAAAGGTCGYTTTCTACTCTTGAGGGGATAATCATCTCTATATGGACTTTGCAAATTTTCCACCACTGCCATAGGTTGTGCCGGGTCAGTTGCCTCTGACGCAGTAGCATTATCTGAATCTCTAGAAAAAGTCATCATATGATAATTGTAAGGCTATGCCTATGAAAGTCGACACTAAATGGCACAAAATAGTGTCCCTTGGCGGGTAATCCCAGAAGTCGACGGGACAGCAGCACTGAAACAGCCGTGGGAAAACTTGTTGCATTTTGCCAGAAATAGTTGCTGAGTTGACAGACCATACTGCCAGTGGCCGTAACCCTGGCCAAGGGAGGCGGGGTGYGCTGGCGCTTGCCCAAGGCGCTCACCGAAGTACCCATTATTAACGAATAATGCAAACCTCCAACAAATTCTTCATCTCCCACAAGTGATGTTTACCCAGTGCCTAAATTTATGCTAAGCAACATCTGCAGCTTAAGTAACAATGCACTTAAGAACTAGGAACTCTTTATTGTTCTGCGGCATTGCAACTTCCCCATGTACGAATGTCTTGGTTTTCACACTGATTATATATCAACCTATGGGTAACACATTTTTAAAATAAAATGTGGATAAAATCTATTTTGAACAAAGTTTCTTTTGTATTAAAAGCTCTTATCCAATCATAAGCACTCAAAACAATACCCAAAAGATGCTTCTAATTTGCTATGTTCCCCACKTAGAATTGCCTTAATATTAAAGCTAAAGAAAGCCTTCATGAAAGTGAAAACAGATAATAAAATATTAGAAAATTTGCTAACTTGTGAAATTATAGCAGATTTTCATGTTTTAACCAATGGGATGGATGGATTATACAATGCGCAATTAGCACCTTCTTGCATTCCTGTGCYGTTTGCTTCCCTAGTTCTTACTCGGT